ACAATGATGATGGTGTTAGAAGGAAAATGTCCATATCTGGTTTTTTTTTTTTTTTTTTTTTTTGGGAAAAAACTAAATGACAGATCGACTGGATGTCTGGAAGGGCATTTATGTTTCCATGCAGGGCGTTGGTTGGAACACAGGAGCAACCACGGGTGGTGTCGGGGCATTTCTGCCTATTCTCTCCTCTCTTTCTCACGCAGGGACCCCGAAGTTTCCACCAGAAAGGCCATGGAGAACGGCGGTCCGGTGACCCATGAGGCGGAGACGGTTTCCACCATCACCATTAAGGGGATTCTGAGTTTAATGATGCAGATCATTGACGAAGAAAACGGAAAGAGGGTGATTACTTTGGGTATGGGTGACCCTACAGCTTATTCTTGCTTTCTCACTCCTTCTGTCGTCCGTGAAGCTGCTGTGGATGCCCTCCAATCTAATAAGTTCAATGGTTATGCCCCAACTGTTGGCCTTCTTCAAACAAGAAGGTAAATTTTCCAGCTTTCCCTAATTATTGCTAAAAAGTTCTTACTTCTTTGGAGATTATGGATTTTAATTCATTAATTGCATGCTAGAAATTAGAATTAATTATGGGTGAATTTCATCGCTTACCCACCCTTTTACGTCTCATCATGTTTGTTATTAATTTTCTGATATCTCTATTTCTAAATTTTGAGATCTTCTGTGTTTTCTCTTTTAACAGGGCAATTGCAGAATATCTGAATCGTGATCTTCCTTACAAGCTATCACCCGATGATGTTTTCATCACATCTGGGTGCACACAAGCCATTGATGTTTCATTGGCAATGCTTGCCCGCCCTGGTGCAAACATCTTACTTCCGCGCCCAGGGTTCCCAATTTATGAACTTAGTGCTGCCTTTAGACGTCTTCAAGTCCGGTACTTTGATCTTCTTCCTGAGAAAGGTTGGGAAGTTGATCTTGATTCTGTTGAAGCTTTAGCAGATCAGAATACAGTTGCCATGGTAATCATAAACCCTGGTAATCCTTGTGGGAATGTGTACTCGTACAAACATTTAAAGAAGGTTAGTATCTTAGAACAAGGAAATGCCAAAAAGTAAGAAATCTTTATATATGGGACTGTATTCTAATTGGTTGTGTTTGAATTGGATTTAGATTGCAGAAACTGCAAACAAGCTTAAAATTCTTGTCATTGCTGATGAAGTTTATGGACACCTTACTTTTGGGCCTAATCCATTTGTGCCTATGGGAGTTTTCGGCTCAACTGTTCCAGTCCTAACCCTTGGATCTCTATCAAAGAGATGGATAGTGCCTGGTTGGAGACTTGGTTGGTTTGTGACAAGTGATCCAAATGGCACGTTTAAAGAACCTAAGGTTCTTTCTCTCTTTCTGTGATATGAATGTCCTTTACATATACTTCTTCAGAGATGTCTAGTGTCTCTTACTATTTTACTTCGCAGATCATCGAGCGTATTAAGAATTATTTTGATATTTTGGGAGGACCTGCAACCTTTATCCAGGTATTTCTTATGTGAACATGTTTTTTAAGCTCCTGAAACTTGAACATTTTATTTTCTTCATATGCTTGGGGCTAATTTTGTGCTTTCCTCATCAATAATAATGTTTCGACTATTGCTTTTTCATGGTTTTATCCGTTATAACTGAGCTGAGTTTGTAAAATTATATTAGACAATGCATTTCACAATGCGCTTATCAAAGCTTCTTCAACATCTTAGGCAGCAGTTCCACGTATCATTGAGCATACTGATGACGAGATTTTCTTCAAGGAAACTAATAACACACTGAAGCAGACATCAGATATTTGCTGGGAAATGATGAAAGAGATTCCTGGCATTACTTGTCCCCACAAACCAGAGGGATCTATGGCTGTAATGGTAAAGGAAGTAGCAGAAAGTTAACAAATTCTAATACTTGTTCATGATGGAAATCATGCTTACTACATTATAAATTTATTACAGGTGAAACTAGATCTTTCCAATCTGAAAGACATTAGTGATGATATCGACTTCTGTTTTAGGCTGGCTAAAGAGGAATCTGTCATTGTTCTTCCTGGTAAGGAGAAAAAGTAACAAATTCTACCTTCCTTTTTAATCCAATCATCCATAGAAGAGCTTCGTTGATAAAAGTTGAAATTCCGTTCCTCTTTTTATTGAAGGTAAACGATTGTTCATTTTCTCTGATGATGACTCTGAAAACTCTTTAATTTTCAAACTCCATCCTGAATAGAAAAAATGCAAATGAAAATAAGGTCCAGCATCAATGAGTGGCGTTACTTTGCCAGTCTCCAAAGCAATTTGAATAGTCATTTTGTGTCCTGAAGCGAAACTTAGGCAATAAGCTGAAGAATTTTAGTGATAATCAGGAAGTTATCTAAGTAAAAACATAAGGAAAGTCATATGAATTCCAATATTTGATTAACTTTATAGACTTAGAGTGCATTATTTAGGTCTTCTAGATCTAGCAGTTGTGTAGTTTTATAACACAGTTTCTGCACATCATTTGCAGGTACTGCAGTGGGGCTAAAAAACTGGCTTCGCATCATTTTTGCTTCTGATCCATCCTCTCTCAAAGAAGGTTTGGGAAGAATCAAGTCATTCTGTCAACGGCATGTGAAGATGTCACAAATTTACTAGCAAATTCTAGTTCTCCAACAAGGCTGCATACTGCAGCAAACACATCCACATTAATTCATTTCATCATCAGTAAACAAGAAAGGATCCTTAGATATAGTGGAGAGTTTGGAAAAATATTTCATTTGAAATTTATAGATTGTTCTTGGTGATATTCATTGCAAAATAATGTACTGGACCTCATTCATTTCTTATGCTCAGAAATGAGGTTCATGCTTCAATAAATCTTGTGCCTTCCCAGAATTACATGCTTCCAAAATTAGCAATATCGTGACTTTAGCTCTTACATTAACTTCTGTGTTGTACTTGGAACTTCTCATGTCCATGAGTTAAAAGGCAATCTCGTGGGTTTAAATACAATAAAAACCCTTCTATGTTATGACCTTATTCATTAAAATTAGCAATATAAAGTACTAGACCTCATTCATTTCTTATGTCCATAACTTCTATGTTAAACATAACCTTATGACCTTATTTTTATTTTTAATTTGGTATGATTCAGATTCATTAACCCTCTTCTTCACTCTTCTTATATATACCCCGAAACCCTTCTTTTCTGTCTATCTCAAAAGGCCAAAGGGGGTCTCTTTGACATTTGATTTTCTCCACAACGGCAGACTGCTAAGCTTCATCTAATCAGAAACCTGGGGACCCTTCTGCCTATTCATTCTTTTCTTTGTTTGTCCCCTTTTTGTCTTTGTTGACAAATTTTTGGTGTTTTCTTGTTGAACTTATTTCTTGTTCTGTGTTTGTTGTGTTGATTAAGATTAAATGACTGCATTGGAAGTTGAAAGTGGCAGTTAGTCTAAAGTTTTATGTCTTCTCATCATCATCAGAGGAAAAAATTCAATAACTTTCTTTTTCTTTGTATTCATTGATTTAGATTTTCTAGTCGAATTAAGGTATGCATTGTTTCCTCAATTACAATTGATTTAGGAAAAATATGGTTTGTTATGTGCATGAATTGAGTAGGAGAAGACCTAGAAGCATGTTTTCTGGGTTCTCATTTTATCTATTTAGTATCTGTTTTTATGTAGGAGAAAATTTTCTTGTATAAAAATTTCATTATTTTAACATTCCAGTTAACTCTCTCTTTGTCCATTCTTAAACTTTGCTATAAACCAGTTGCTTGAAAAGCTGCATGAGAATTGGAGTTCAGTGAAAAGGCAACCATATCTGGCTTTCTACACATGTTTTTTGGAGGGATCATTCATGAGCCAGCTATATATGATGGTAATTCCCATGGATGACCACATGGTTCACTGGGGGCACGGTGTGTTCGATACTGCTATTATTTTTGCTACGGATGCCTAGTATAGTTGATGAGGAACCAGAAACAACAGTCGAAAATTTTTCTCAAGTATTTTTATTCAAGTGTAGTTATCATTAGTTTTCCTTTTATTAGGATTGGATCTTTTATCAAGAGTCTTAAGTCTTAGTTGAATTAGAAATTTTAAATTTCAAGTTATAGTCTAATTAAAATAAGAATTCTAGTAGGAGTCTTGTTAGTTTCTATATAAATATGCATATAGTTTCTTTCATTATTAAGTAAATAATATTTAGAATTTTCTAACAAGTTTTGCTATTGATTGTGTGCTGCAATCTTAGTTGTTTGATGCAATTAACCTTAAGTGTGATGCTTAAGGGTTTTATCCTCTTTAGGTGTGATGTGTAAAGAAACTTAAGTGTGACTTCTAACATTTTCTATCTTTCGCGTTATTATTATTATTATTTTTTGCTGTTTGTTTCCCTCTTTCCATGCCTTACACTCAAGCCCTATTTTACTATTCATACATACTATTCATAGTATATGTTTGTCCTAGATAGCCTCTAAATCCCTAAGCCTACCATACCCCCTAACTTGTTTCGCGCGCGTAAGTTGGTGTCATAGCAATTAGCAAAGGATCCTACAATTTTATTGTTGAGTTTTTTCCTCAATCATGGTTATAAACGCCGAATTGAATGCTAGAGTTATAGTTTTAAAAAGAGATTGGGAAGAGATCAAATATGCGTTTAAGTAGTGGGTTGAACGCATGTATTCAATAAAAGAGACACTAACTAAGAAACTAGATTCCAAGATAGAAGAGATGGTGGCCAAGAAACTAAGTACTCTCCAAGTTGAAACCTTCAAATATACAGCCCCTCATGAGTAAGATACAAGGCCTGCACAAACTCTTCAACTAACAATAGTAACAACAAGAGATGAGGGAAGATAGAAAGGAATACAAGATACAGTTGGTGATATTACTAAGAAATCAAGATCAAAGTCCTTGCTTTTGAGGGGAAAGTCAATCCTATTGTGTTTTTTGATTGAATTAATTCTATGGAGGAATATTTCAACTGGTATGACATGGGAGATCTTCAAAGAGTTAGGTTTGCTAAGATGAAACTTGTGGGATTAGCCAAAAAATGGTGGCAGGGTGTTGAAAGTGACTTAGACCGATTAGACAACCACCCATTGCTATTTGGTTGGAGAGGAAGGCAAAATTGAGAGAAAAGTACCTACCACAAAATTATCTAGACAAGATGCGTGATAAGGTTTATACTTAATTTGAGGCAAGGAAGCATGAAAGTGGCCAAGTATATGCAGAACTTTGATGAGCTAAAGATCTGCAGTTAAGTTGCAGAAGGTGCCTCACAAGCTGCATCTTAGTTTAGAGTTGGTCTAAGAGCTTATATAAAAATGAATTACTTAGACAACCTATTTATAGTGTTGAAGATGTATTCCAAGCAACACTTAACGCAGAAGAATATATAAACAAGTAAAATAGTAAGAAAGTTTGGCTCCAAATAGGGGAGGTAATAGCAAGAAAGAGTTATGATGAATATTAAGATGCTTTACAAGCTTCAAACAACTACAATGGGCCAAATAATACTTCCTAGAAAGGTAGAGAAAAAGGTTTTGCATTCAACCAAAAAGGTAATGAAAATGTAACTTGCTTCAAGTGTGGGGAAGATGGACATATGGCCTATCAATGTCAAAGAAGAAACAATTTGCATATGGGAAAATCACAAGATGATGAAAAACAGCAAGTTGAAGATACTAAAGAAAATTCCTATGATTTTGGAGTTTATATGGCTAATGATCTTGAAGATGACGAAGATAATCCCCATTTATCTTTTGTTAGGTGCATCTTAATATCCCCTAAGGTGAAGGAAAAAGATTGGAGATGAAATTCACTATTCCAAACCTTAGTTTGTTGTGGAGACCAAGTTAAAAAGCTTATTATAGATAGTGGAAGTTGCATGAATGTTATATCTGAATTTGTAGTGGAACACCTCCAACTTCCCACAAAATTACATCCCCAACCATGCAAGGTGGCTTGGTCAAATGATGCCTTGTTACTTTTAGTTGTGGTGCCTATAGTGACTCAATGTTATGCGATGTTATTCTTATGAAAGTCACACACATTCTTCTTGGTAGGCCTTGGTTCTATGACAAAAATGTGAGTCATAATGGACAAGAAAACACCTATTCATTTTTTGCTAGAAACAAAACCATTGTGCTACAAGCTATGAGCTCACTTAAGATTAAGAACTATAAAGAAAAGAGTTCATCAAAACCTATATGCACTATTGAAGGTAAAAGGAAATCTCTCAATATCCTAGACAAGAGATGAGCTAGAGTTACCACCATTGAGTTACCTTGCAATTACAAGATTGCTACTTCTTCAAATTCAAAACTCGAGGTCAAGTTTTCTCCAACAAAGAGAGAAAGATGAGGAACCAGAAACAACAATTGAAAATATTTTTTAAGTAATTATTTTTATTCAAGTGTAGTTATCATTAGTTTTCATACTTCAATTAGGATTAGGTCTTTATCAATAGTCTTAATTCTTGGTCGAATTAGAAATTTTAAATTTCAAGTTACAGTCTAATTAGAATAAGAGTTCCTATATGGATTTTTGTAGTTTTTATATAAATATGCATGTGGTCTCTTTCATTGTTAAGTAAATAATATTCAGAATTTTCCAACAAGTTTTCCTCTTGGTTGTGTGATGCAATCTTGGTTGTGTGATGCAACTAACCTTAGGTGTGATGCTTAAGGGTTTTATCCTCTTTAGATGTGATGTCTAAAGAAACCTAAGTGTGCTCCTAGTATTTTCTATCTTTCACGTTATTTTTTTTTTGTTTGTTTCCCTCTTTTCATACCTTAACTAGCTGCTTAAGCCCTATTTTACTGTTCATGCATACTATTTACAATATATATTTGCCCTAAACAGCCTCTAAATCCCCAAACCCACCATACCCCCTAACCTGTTCTGTGTCAATAGTTCTCTTCAACATGTTTGTTAGCACATCTTTTATTCAGACTAAGCACCACCAATGCCGTTTCTAGCTTAATAACATTTTATTCTTCTTTATGATGGTTATCTCTGACTTGGATGTCCATTTGGATCACTTCCTCAAATCAGCAGCAAGTGCGAAGATCTCCTCTCCCTTCCCTAAATCAACCCTTCTTAGCATTCTTGCGCAACTGACAGCATCATCAAAGTGCAGGTCCTGGTGATTTCTTGCTTTCACCCGCATGATGTCCAACATCAGCATTTTATGCTGTAGTTATAGATGAAGACTTCTCCCAATGCAAAGAAGTTGTTAAAGTGACAACTTCCACCATCCCTATAAAGTATATGTTTGCCACAATGAACAATGTAAACTACCCTCCAAACGTTCTTTCAATACTGGTAGCTGAGGAGAAGGGAGCATTGGTATCTATTTGCGTTCATGAGGAATGTTACATTGCAGAAGGTCCTAATGTGAACATCGCTTTTATAACTCTGCGATGAGGAGCTTGTTTTGCTTTTGTTTGGTAAGATCCTAAGTGCATACACTGCAAAAAGACTCTTCTTAAATTAGCGCCTATGTTGGTTGAGCAGGGTCATCTGAAAAGTGTCAAAATTCTCAATCTCATCGTCAAACAAGCCAAAGCTGCAGCCGAGATGATGCATGTAGGAAGCACATGCACCACCAGTATTGCCAATCATATAAACCATTGGCGATAGTCAGTACCATTTCCTTGTACCAAGATTAACCTGTTGCTAATCAGATACTCTTATTTAGGCATGATATAGCTCTATATCACTCTAACTCTTCATTTTACCCTTGTATATATCTCAGTACCATTCAAATATAGCTGTATACATACCATGTGTAGGTTGTGGCATCTTGCAGAGTAATTTGATTGTGTATTTCACTATTATAGGAAAGGTGTGGCAGAATTGACAATGGCACTCTCAGGCCTACTTTGGGATGATATGGTAGCCGGCCCTGAAACACAGAGGTTTGCTGTTCCTTATGCTCAATGAACCTAGAAGTTGTCCGAGGAAGCTGAAGGAGTGGATTCATTTGGCAATTAGGTTTGTTTATGCGCCTTCTTTATCAATGAATATGAAGTTAAAATGTCAAATAAGCATCCAGAAGCTTGAATGTTTTGAATGTTTAATTGATTCAGCAGAGCAGTTTTTCTGTGCTGCATTGTTGCATATATTTAGAATGGCCCCATTATGGTTTATATCTGGTTATGGCCGGAAATAGATGCAGATTTGGAATTTGGATTATAATTTTCATTTCATGTTGAAATGGTTGAATATATAATGTTGAAAACATGAGATATCAAGGTGTGAAACCTTAAGGGAAAATAAGTGGCAAAGAAATGACATCAATAGCTGCAGGAAAACTTGTGAAAATTCTATGTGTGAACATTTTACAAGAATTAGGGAAGGGGCTAGAAGAGTCCACATTTTTTTAGTACAGATGATAAATATATCCAAGTACTTGAATGAACTACATTTTACTTTCCTTTTTGCCTCCACTCTTGGAACTTCAGGTTTTTGGTATACAGTTCATTATTCGTCACATTCTAAGACTAAATGAAAGTCTAAAACCTTGGTACATGGAAGCAAACATAGGAAAAAAAATTAAGAGCACATAGCGCCTAGTGCTTGTTCGGTATAGATAGAGGTTTGCCCTACCATATGCTACATAAGGTATTGCCCTACCATATGCTACATAAGGTATTGCCCTACCATGTGCTACAAAAGGTAAACAGAAAGCAGGAATATTGGTATATCATAGTAGAGTACAAAATCTCAGTATTATGCTCGGCTAGAGCATCCACAATAAAATTAGTTTTCTTAAAGACATGATTAATATTCATAATCACAAATTGTTAGATCAATAACTTATAAAAATTAAGTACAAGAAGAATTGGTATTAATCTTACCATTAAAATCTCTTATAGATTGGCATGGCAAGTGGTAAACCAGCACAATCCTCTTGAGATTTTTTTTTTGCATCTTCTGAGATGTTGTAAAAAATAACTAGATTTCGTCATTGCAGAACGACTCCCAGCTCTATATTCCATCGCAGAAGATAAGAAACAAAATTTCCGATGCCACCCATTCCGAAGAATGAAATGCTTTCCAAGGTAAGCCTCATCATCAAGGACAATTTTTCATGTATCTTTCTCAAATCTGGGACAAACTGGCATCTAATCAAGCATAGTAGGAGAGGAAAGAGAGAGAGAAAGAAAGAGGAAGGGAGAAGGGAAAAGGAGAAATGCCGTTTCCCTGAGGCGATTGAGGACCTATAAGTGGGAATGGTAGGTTGATGGAGAATCACATTGACCCATTTCACGCCATTCAAAAGGCATCTTTATTATATGCATAAAGGATATATATCTTGTTGGGGCCCCAATGTCCATATTTTAATTTGGCATCTATGATGAGTCGATAATATTGTCCCGTTGTGGAGGCGTGCCGCGTGCACATGACTTTACTGACATTTACCTCCCGGTCATCTTTCTGTGGCGTTGCAACAATAATTGTTGATGAGATTCACTAGAAACTGTAATTTCACTTTTCATTGCAGGGGGGGAACAGGACAAGGACAGGGTGAATTAATCAGTTTTTCACTTTTCAAGGGTGAAAACACGAAAACCTACTTGAACATGTTAAAAAAAGAGAGAGAGA